TCTCTCTCTCTCTCTCTCTCTCTCTCTCTCTCTCTCTCTCTCTCTCTCTCTCTCTTCCGTGCAAACTGCGTTCAAACGAAGCGTCATTCACGCTTTCATTTTCGTTTTGCCAACAGAACTATGACGAGGCCGCCGCTTTTGTTTCTATTACACTCGACGTAGCGGCCTAATTTAAACATGTCGATCTGGCCAGCGTTATACAGTCGTTTCTATGTAATGAAATGGAACTTTATAGCAGATATCCAAACAACACGATACATCTCATGGATATATTCTATATATAGCGTCACGTTTACAAAAGTATACTTTAGAAAGTCATCATAGAATAATTCTTTTCTTTTTTTCAGATTTTATAATGGAAGTTGTGGAATTATTCGAACGGGGTCTTATTTTTCCAACAACCATGACACAGCATTTACAAACTGCTTTTACGTACGATGCTCGATCTCTGGAAATGAAAAAATCCTCGGAGCTATATGTTGTACCAGGTTGCACGAGTTTTGTCGCACACACACAAGGTATACATCTGGATGTTAATTCGCGAGTGTTTCCTATTCGGCTCGACCTTGGTGTCGAGCAACGGATTGTCATAGTCTGGAGAAATCGTCGTCCGGTGTGCGGCGTGTTGCGTACACGCGCTTGATTCGCGTTGACCGAGGCGGCGAGCGGCGTGAGAAACCGGCAAGGAGGGCGGAGGACGAAGGGGGATGTAGCATCGTTGCGTAACAGCCTGTTGTCTCGCGCTACAATGACAACTCGTGCGCGTTGATGCAATTCTCGAAAATATTTATAATATGGCGACGGCACGTACGTATGTCAATCGTACGTGCATCATTCGCGGGCGCATTTACATGGAAGTTGCAGCGGGACTCGAGACGGTATTTTCGGCGATAACTGCGCGAGCGCACGCGGGAGACTTTCTTGAAACAGTAACTCGAAGGCAAGTGGACGGCATGACCATTTGAAAGACGAGTCAATTTCCAAGGTTTCCAAAAAGCCAATGCCGAATGTTAGGGGAAGACGAACAATTGTTAGTATTTATTTTGAGACACACTATGTCAACACTATGCAACTTTTTCTCGTTTCTTTTTTCGAAGCCGCAAAGTGGTAAGAAGATACAAGCGAAAATAAAACGAAGCAACGCGCATCCGCTCACAAACTATTTCTCAGCCGCAAATTTCCATAACTTTCACTTGCTCGCTTCGTTCGCGCTTATCTCTGCTAAATAGATCTTAGAATTATTCTTTATTTCACGCAAGTGCGTGATCTTAACTCCAATTAACTGCAGTTTTCTCCTCAGATGCAAGCCGCGGGACAAGCGAGGATAAACATTTTACTGTTACTTGAGTCTCAGTGACTTCATCGATTTGCGGCTTTCTTAATAGTACTCGTAAATCATCGATGGTGTTGCGGATTGTAACGTTAGATTAACACCAGTAAGTTCAACGAGCACGATCGACGGCGCGAAAGACGGTACGAAGAAGCTCACGCGGGATAGCGAAGGGCCGCTAAGGACTATTTTCAGGGCGATTACATCACCGAGCTGAAAATTCATAAGGCGGCTCGACAGAGAGCTCAGAGATTTGCATCCTCACGTCACTTTGCCTGTAACCTCGATGTAATATGGGCATCTTCCCCTCATCTCCACCCGTGTGTAAATACATTTGGACGAGCGAGTGGGAGATCGACGCCTCCCTAACGAGCAGACGGCAGCGCGCGATGGTGGCGTTGCCGATGACGAAGGCGCCGCGCGTCTCTCGTCAGTCAAATAGCGATCGTCGTTGCATGATCATTTAACATCGCAGTTGGTACAAACGCAACCACGGTGTACGCGATTCCGACCTGCGTACGAAAATAACTCCGCCGAGAACGTTTCTCGCGCGGCAACCACGGTCGGCTCTTCACGTTTGAACTCTACGCGTGAGACGTTCTTTCGCGATTTTACAAATAACTTTTCTAGATCCGTGCGTAAATAGTACAAGACATCCCAACGGGCTAGTGATAATAAACAGATAAATATTCCATGGAGACCGGTAGTTAATATTTACGTAGAATTATTAATAAAGGTGAGTCACGATTTCAGAATCGAGGGAAATATACATCTGAACGTGTAAACATCAAACAAGTGTGAAGTATATTAAATAAGAGTAAAATTCTTACATAACGTAGCTTGAGAATTACGAGAGATGTTATGAAAAGTGAACTTACGTTTTTATATAATATTGTTTTACTTGGTCAGTATCTAGAATCTCGATCCTTGAAATAATGACATTATTGTTCATTGCTGAATCAACTATGAATCAGTCGAACGAGTGTAAAGTCCATTTTCATTTGGTGGAACATTCTCAGAAGCAAGTGGCACGTGCTCTAATTTAGAAAATAAAGAAGAAAAAGTTAAGACAAAAGAAGTTTAAGAGAAGAAAATACTTGAAAATTTATTTTTGTGAAATAAAGTTTATTTCTATAAATAAAGCTTATATCCTATAAGTAAATTTTCAAGTATGATTTAAATCATAGTATTTAAATCATACGCACGCGCATACATATATAATAATAAAACGAACTTGCAACGAAACTTTTAAGTCGCTTTTGAAGACTTGATGTCATCCTCGGGTAATCTTTCCATTAAGCGAGTAGTTTTAGTAATCAACGGTTTCTGTCTCATGCCAAGTAGGAGAACAAGAGAGAAGAAGATAGAGTCTTGAACCTTTTTACACGTACTCTCCGTATTTTTTTAGCATGTCCGCGATATTGTTGCAAATTTCTCGTTCATATCAAACGTATTTTCGAAAAACTATTTTCTAAAGCAGGATCACACAATCGATCGAACGAAGGAGGGAAGTGAAATAAGTAGCGCTAGTGGGAACTCGAGTGTGCTTCTCGCATTATCGCATCAGTGAAAGAAGATTGACACTCGCAAGATGAAGCGATTGATACTGTTGGCTCTCCTAGCCGCCGTAGCAATGTGTAGCCACGAACCGTTCGAAGTGATTTTCGAGTGGAAGACCATAGACTTTCAATGGCCGTCGGACGACGAGCGGCAATACGCCCACACACACGGTGACTACATTGCGGTGAACAACTTCTTCACCACCGTGAAATTTTGGAAGGACAAGATGTATCTGGCGATACCGCGATGGAGAGATGGTGTGCCGGTGACGCTCGCTGTCACTTCGGCGAGGCCGGTGAACGGTTCGACGGCGCCCGAGCTGGAGGCCTTCCCCAGCTGGGCCATGCAAAAGCTGGACGACTGCAGCGCGTTCCAGTTGGTCCACAGCATGGAGATTGATCCGAAAGGCCGCATGTGGGTGCTCGACACCGGTAAACCATCAACACTCAGGGAATTCACGGCCCACTGTCCCGCACGTCTCGTCATTCTCGACCTCGAAGATAAGGGCAAGATTCTCCGCACTTACGAGTTCCCCGATCATGTGGCTCGTCGCGGTATCACCTATCTCAACGACATTGTTCTCGATCACGAAGACGGCGGTATGGCGTACATCACCGACAGCAGCAACAAGGACCCCGGCATCATCGTGTATTCCCTCAAAAATAACACCTCGTGGAAGATCCGTCATGATTCCATGAAAGCGAAATCCGAGGCGACTTCATTCATGGTGGCGAAAACGCATGTGATATCGCCGGTGAACGTAGATGGTATAGCGCTTTCGTCAGCAAGCAGCAGCGACAGGTAATGCTAAATTAGCGTTTCTTTATATCCGATCAATTTTACGTTGTTGTTTTTCTCCGCAAAGAGAGAGAGAGAGAGAGAGAGAAGCGCTAAAATATAACTACGCCTCTGATCATCCTCAGCCTCTGAACATCTTTATTTAAATAAATATAAAAGATGACTTCTATGACACTTGACATGACATGACATGAAGAAAAATTACTTTTGCGTCACACTTTACATTGCTCCTTATTCTGAATTTTCTTTTATCGATAAAAATATTATAAGATATCATCTGATTGGCTATACGTCATTTTTAGAGACACTTATAAAATAAGCGTTATATACAATATTGCGCAAAATGTGAAATTTCTCAGCAACATCGAGCGATTCATTCGTCCTAAAGATCTTACGCGAGATCTATGAAACGATACGATGTTTCAGGCAAGTCTATTACTCGCCTCTGTCTTCCTTCCACCTGTACTCGATCCCGGTGTCCGCTTTGAAAAGCAACGCCACGAATATCGATCATTACGTGAGAGAACTCGGACGGAAGAATTCGCAGACGGACGGCATGGTGATGTCGGCCAAGAACGTGCTTTACTTTGGTCTGCTGGCCGACGACGCCATCTCCATGTGGGACATTAAGAATTCGTCATCCTTCACCATCGGTCAGCGTGTCATGTCGCGCGATCATGTGTTGACGCAATGGCCGGACAGTTTCGCCTTCGACGAGGACGGCTATCTCTGGTGCGTCGTCAACATGCTGCAAAACTTCTTGAACAATCGCGTCAACATCGACAAGAACAACTACCGTCTCATCAGGACACGCGTGAATGTTAAAAACTACCAATTCTACGAGAATGGCACAGCACCGGAATTGCCGGACATCAACGCCGGCACTCCGCTTCATGACTCCATCAGTTTCACGCTCGTCACGCTGCTTTTAGTTTTGATACTTGTCACGGAGTAGTAGCTTCTTCCTTCATGGAGAATAGTAGCGGGAAGTGGCAGCTTGTATATTTGGCGCGCACGCCAAAGAAAGAGAGAGAGAGTTTACCACCTGTAAGTTTACATTTTACAGTCAATCACTTAAATTATATTAATTCTTCAACGTGCGACACCTTTCCATTTATATGTTAAGTATAAATAGATATAGATATAACGCGCGTGCGTGAGAGAGAGATAAATATAAGAGGGTATAAGGAGCGCGTGACGAAAAAGACGTTTATCGAGGGAAATGTGTCCGTATGATATATGATTAAGATGAGTAATTGACTTCATTTAAATAATAGTGTTAAAGTTTATCGCTCCTCCAGCGCGTTTTCTCGATCGAGTAAAAAGAAACAGTTCTCTCTTCGGCATTTTTCAGTCATACTTAACCTTGTTGTCCGTTTGCATTATATATCATTACAGAGGTCGCTAAAGAAAGAAAAATAGAATATTTCGACAATGTTTTGCTTATGCAACAGTGTATAGAATCGGTGGACAACTTCTATTATCTGGATTTTCGTCGACCCCTTTACACAGTTTCGGAATTATTTATAAATCTACCTCGCGCGAGTCTAACGGAAAGAGAACTGAATTTCAGTGGTCACACTTCTGACGGCTTGTTAGATCAGAACGCATTTGATCGCCGCGAGCTCAATCGAATCGAAAAAGACGGATTCGCGAGTATATCGAAATTATCAGCTTCCACTTTTATTTCAATTACGCAGCTGTCAAACCGTACATCGTTCACGATATCGTTCGCGAAATCCGCTGCTGCTATTGCTGCTAATCGTAGAATGTCGCTGAACGAATCTCACATAAACGAAAGTTCAATGTATACTCAGATAGACAAAGATGCTACACATAGCATGCAAACATTTGATGTCGATACTTCGTAATGCAATTGTAACAGCGCAACATGTTTAAAACATATTATTTAAAAAAATACCATTTTATTACGCCATACTTTGAATGAAAACAGTAATTTTCATGGCATTAGATATGCCTTCTTTCGCACACTGACAAGATTTTTGTTCTATGAGGACGTATCTTTGCGCAGTTGTGTTACCATTTTCAATTCTCAATTCGGTCATTATTCAAACAATACACTAAAATATGTCTATCTGGGTGATTTATACGGTGGTGGACGAAAAGGTCGATGAGTATGTTTGTGAGTTTCAGAATATGTGTATCCCAATGAGAGAATTCTCCTATTGGATTGACGGGATACACATATTTCGAAACTCACATAAAACATACTCGTCAAACTTTTTCTCCACGATCGTGCGATATTAATGTTAATATGTATGTATACGTGTATATTTTTAACACTTTATTTAGCATCTCCAGCATCAAATCCAAACCTGAGTAGTCTTTTGCGGTTTAACTCAAATCGACGAGTCGTGTTACTTCAGTTTCGTGTTAAATCTCCGTTTGTGTATATAAAGCATTTATTAATATTTATTATTATTGTTATTATATTATTAAGTTGTGAAAATTATTAGTATTACTAATTGTTCTCATAGATGCTATATCGGTGCTAACGTTATTATATGTCAAGAACCACAAATATTATTAATAAATGTTCACTCTCTTCACGTAATATAACAAAAGCGAATTCCAAATAAAGGTATTTATTTCTTAGAACGTCGTCCTTGATTTTTCTTCGCTCTGTCGCGGTCGACAAATAGGCTTAATGCATCGCGATGCAATGTGCATACCGATACGATAAGTCACGTTGGTTTTTTCTGTCGCGGTAGTCCTTCGATTCATCAGTGTAAATAATCGTGCGTATAACATACCGGTTCTCTATCGTCATTAACAGTGGCGGCATTTTTCTCGGCGAAAACTCCGTTCGTGATCGCCGCTTAATGAGCGTATCATGCGAACTGTATACATTGAATAGCAGGTGCGATCATGTTGATTTTGCAGCATGACGTTTTGTAACATGGTTCGTTGACTGCCGCTGTTTCGTGACTACGAATGACTACGCGTGACACGCGTATAAATTGCGCACACACACGCGTGTGCGTGCGCGTATCATCGTGTAAAAGTAGAACGGCGCGAGCGTGAGGCTGTCGCGAGGACAATTGTGGGAAGTCGCTTTTCCATCCTCTCTCGTTTCTCTTTTACGAGATACACATAAACACACATCTATATACACGTACAGAGATTTCGCAAAAATAAAGAAGTATCTCCCTGAGTGAGAACGAGCAGAGATTGTGCGGCTGCAGACAAAACAAGCGCTTTCCAAATCGTGTTAACTCGATTCAATTATTGTCCGCGTTTTCGTTGGTGTAGTGTGTATTTCGCGCGTTATGTATTTCATTCGGAAAGGACCTAACCAGTGAGCAAAAAATCATTGATAGAACGTTATTGCAACGATATTCAATAACGTAGGAAGATTTTCGATGTGTAGTTTTTAACGTTATATATCGACATCATTGCTGCGAGTTACTTCAATAGTTCTAAAATATTTTTGCAATATTATCTGGTAGTGAATTTTTCTAAAGTATTAAGCAAAAACTGCCAAGTGGTACGCATAAAATCAATACTTTAAGATGTTGATCCAATGTTCTTTGTTTATTAAATTCGATTATTTCCTCTTTATTCACTTTATAGATTTTATATATATATATATATATATATATATATATATATATATATATATATATATATATATATA